CAACTGCTCCCTCTCCACCTCAGGCCCAAAACTACAGGACTCATTCTTGTCTTGTCCGTTCTTCCTCATGCCCAGCACTTATGCTGGCTACACTAAAAATGCTCACTTCCAGGGCTGGGCAAAATGGTTCACGCCTGTAATCCCAAAACTTTGGGAGGCCGAGGAAGGCGGATCACCTGAGGTCAGGAGTTCGAGACCAGCCTGGCCGGCATGGTGAAACCCCACCTCTACTAAAAATGCAAAAGTTAGCCCGGCATGCTGGTGCATGGCTGTAATCCCAGCTACTTAGGAGGCTGAGGCAGGAGAATCGCTTGAACCCAGGAGTCAGAGGTTGCAGTGAGCCAAGATCGCGCCATTGCACTCCAGCCTGGGCGACAAAAGTGAGATTCCGTCTGAGAAAAAAAAAACAAAACACCTCACTTCCAACCCCCTTCTCATGATCTCTACTGCTGTCACACTACTACTGATGTCATCCTTCCCCTGAATACTATAAGTCTTCCCACAGGATTCTTTCCTCCTACCCTTGCCTCTCTGCAATTGATATTTAAAACAGCAGCCAGAGGGATCACTTTAAAACAAAAGCCAGACCCTGTCTTTCCTCTGCCCGGAACCCTCCAATGTCTCCCAGTTAAAAGCTGGAGTACTTAAAGTGGCCAACAAGGCTCTGACCAATGTCTTCTCTGTGCCCGCCCCCCCAGATTGTGTCACTGTCCCTCCTTGTTCATTCTGCTGCAGACAGACTGGACTTCCCAGCTTCACTTGAAACTCTTCAAACATGTCAAGCTCACCCTAGAGCCTTTGAACTTGTGTTTTCCTTGCCTGCAAATTCTTGTCCAGGGTTCACTGCCCCACTACCTGTGAATATCTACTCAAATGGTATTTTATGACTGAATACTTTCCTCACTACACTGTTTAAAAATAGCAACCAAGGCCGGGCGCGGTGGCTCAAGCCTGTAATCCCAGCACTTTGGGAGGCCGAGATGGGCGGATCACGAGGTCAGGAGATCAAGACCATCCTGGCTAACACAGTGAAACCCCGTCTCTACTAAAAAATACAAAAAACTAGCCGGGCGAGGTGGCGGGCGCCTGTAGTCCCAGCTACTCCGGAGGCTGAGGCAGGAGAATGGTGTGAAGCTAGGAGGCGGAGCTTGCAGTGAGCCGAGATCCGGCCACTGCACTCCAGCCTGGGCGACAGAGCGAGACTCAGTCTCAAAAAAAAAAAAAAAAAAAAAATAGCAACCCACTCCTGGAGCACCCTAACCCTCTTCCCCTGCTTCCTTTGAATTTCTTCCAGGATAGTTAACACCTTTGGACATGGTACACATTTACTTAGTTTCATCTCGTTCCCTTCCCCGACTAGTGTGTAAGTTCATGGAGCCACAGACCTTTCGCTTGCTGCTAAATCCTCTGCATCTAGAACAGTACTGAAACATAGCAAAAATAATTTCATGGAAACAAACAGTCCCAGCTATAAGTCAAGTACTGCTCTAAGAGCTCTTCACATACCGTATCATTCTATTTACAAGTCTACCTGATCAGAAGATGTTTTAGCTTTGAAGCAAAAAACAAATAAACAGGCTGGGCACAGTGCCTCATGCCTATAATCCCAGCATTTTGGGAGGCCAAGGTGGGCAGATCACTTGAGTTCAAGACCGGCCTGGCCAACATGAGGAGACTCCGTCTCTACTAAAAATACAAAAATTAGCCGGGCGCGGTGGCATGCACTTGTGGTCCCAGCCACCTGGGAGGCTGAGGCAGGATAATCACTTGACTCTGGAAGGCAGAGGTTGCAGTGAACCGAGATCACGCCATTGCACTCCAGCCTGAGCAATGGGAGTGAAACCCTGACTCAAAAACAAAACAGTCACAACCAAATATAGTTCCTGCATGGTAACAGAAAATACATACCTCCTATTACATACAACCAGGTGCTATTCTAGGCACTATATGTTATTTCATTTGACCTCACGCCAGCCCCATCAGATAAGTTCCATAACTCACTATGTTACCAAAGAGAAAAGTGAAGAACATAAAACATACCCTCATATCTAAAACAGTACCTAGCACGTAATGATAGTGATCATAATAGCTAAATTGTATAAAACTATGTGAAAAGTACTTTTCTAAAAACTGAAAGAGGCTGGGTGTGGTGGCTCACCATGACTTTGGGAGCCTGAGGCGTGAGGATCACTTGAGGTCAGGAGTTTGAGACCAGCCTAGCCAACACGGTGAAACCTCTTCTCTACTAAAAATGCAAAAAATTGGCCGGACGCAGTGGCTCACGCCTGTAATCTCAGCACTTTGGGAGGCCAAAGCAGGCGGATCACGAGGTCAGGAGTTCGAGACCAGCCTGACCAACATGGTGAAATGCCGTCTCTACTAAAAATACAAAAATTAGCCGGGCATGGTGGCATGTACCTGTAATCCCAGCTACTCAGGAGGTTAAGGCAGTAGAATCGCTTGAACCTGGGAGGCGGAGTTTGCAGTGAGTCAAGATCACGCCATTGCCCTCCAGTCTGGATGACAAAGCAAGACTTCGTCTCAAAAAAAACCCAAAAAACAAAAAAGTATAAGGGTGTGGTGGAGGGCGCCTGTAGTCCCAGCTACTTGGGAGGCCGAGGCAGGAGAATCGCTTGAACCTGGGAAAAAGAGGTTGCAGTGAGCCAAGATCACACCACTGCACTCCAGCCTGGGCAACAGAGAGAGACTCCATCTCAAAAAAAAAGTCCAGGCACGGTAGCTCAAGCCTGTAATCCCAGCACTTTGGGAGGCCGAGGCGGGCGGATCACCTGAGGTCAGGAGTTCAAGACCATCCTGGCCAACATGGCCAAACACTGTCTCTATTAAAAATGCAAAAATTAACCAGGTGTGGTGGTGTGTGCCTGTAATCCCAGCTACTCGGGAGGTGGAGGTTGCAGTGAGCGTAGATCGCGCCACTGCACTCCAGCCTGGGTGACAGAGCAAGAGTCGGTCTCAAAAACCAAAAAAAAAAAAAGGAACGACACGAGGATGTGTTGGGAGTTATGGACACAGGGGTCGGGTCAGGTGTGTTTCAGAGTACGCAGAGCAGGTTCCTGGGACCATACCTACCCGAACTCGGTTGATGCCACCATAGTGGGGCAACATGGCCAGCTCCAGCTGAGGCTTCCGATCTTCCTCATCCTCTTCATCTTCCTCCTCCTCTTCTTCATCACTGCCCTCTGAGGGTGGGGGCTTCGTCCCATGCAGATTGTGCATACGAAGAATCATCAGTCTGGGGGAAATTGTGGGGTGAGTTACGCACTAGATGCCACGATTCTTAGGAAGGAGAGAGGCTGGAAACCCAGACTCCTGGGTCTGCGAGAGGCAGAAACTGGAAGCCCTAACTCCTGGGTCCTGAGGAAGGGGCTGGAAACTGAGCCTCCTGGTCCTGGAAACGCCTCAGGTTTTACCTGTTGCTCTGGGCGCTCTCAGCCTGGGTCCCAGCACACAAGTAAAGTGTAAGAGGAAGCTCTGTCCTGTTGTCTCCCAGGTGATCCCGGACTATGTCAAAGCTGAGACAGGGGGCGCCTGGGGATGGAAGGAGGGGTTTACGAGTTAAGACGGGACAGTGAGAGCTCAGTCCCCGTCTCCCTCAAGGATCAACCGCCTCCGGTGTGAAATCCTCTCTTGGACCCCAGCCTTCTCTTCCCGAGCACCTCTCAGGTTACAGGCTCGGGATTAGCCACCTCAGGACCCTGGAGTCCGGACTCAGCCCTACCAGTCTGCGCTCGGTGATAGAGCACGTAGGCCTCCTCGTCCATGACCAGTTCCTCTCCTTCGCGTAGCGGCGGTCCCCGGCCGGGCAGGTAGACCTGGGCCGGGCCCTCAGAACTCGGGTCGCCGGACTCGGCTTCCATAGGTTCCCCGGTTTCACACGTGTGCCTCCGACCCTTGCGCGCCGCCATCTTCGAACCCTCTCACTGCTGACGTCCGGTAAAAACGTCACTTCCGGGTTTCGCCTTCCGCCTAATGAGATCAGCCCGCCTGCGCGGTTACCTTGGAAACCCCGGGGACAGCTAATTCGAGAGTGTAATGCGGCAACGCGGGCGGAGAACTCAGGTAATGGCGCCAGCGAAAGAAGCCTGCGGATACGGAGAAACTGCATCTTCGCGTGACTTTGGGCTCTGTTCCTCGCGGTAGTGGCAAGGCCTTCTGGGAGTTGTAGTTCTACGGGAGGCCTGTTTTCCGCAGCTTCCACTTTGATTCCCAGAGCGTTCTTTCCACTTAATTAATTATTCATGTGTGCAAATTTGCTCTCTCACTGGCAAGGAGATTGGGTTTCTGCTCCCTGAGGACCCAAAAGGCCGATTTCTTCTCCTCTCTCTGTTGTTATGGCTTTGTTTCAAAAATGCCTTCTTGTAGACAGGATGGATATTATCTGTAAGTTAGGCAGTTCAATCTACCCTCTAGGGGCAGTCAATTGCCTAACTAGACATTTACATTGCAGCTCTGGTCAGCGAGCACTTAATCAGAAAGTCCACCCTCTGGAGGCAGCTATTACAAGTGCTTCGTCTCTCTTTATCGCCCATCAGCACCAGCGGTTTGGCTAATTGACATAATGAAATGTTAGAAATAGATTCTCATTGGTGAGATTAACAGCATTCAAGATAATGCGGATTGGCTGGGATATGTCAGACACTCTCCTAGCTTACATGAACAGGATATTAAGAATCTAGCAAGTCTTGGTGCCTATAGCCATAGGAAATAAAACCATACCTTTCATCCTAATATGTTTTGTCTCCCGGATCTATCTCACCACTCTCTTGGGGTCTCTGTCTGCCCCAGTACCCTCTGGATTTCTCTCTTTTCAGGGTCTCTTCCCACCTCCTCTTTCTTGGTCTTTGTCTCCCCACCCACCTCCTTTCAGAGCCTCTGTTCTCTCTCTAATTCTGTCTCCTCTTCCCCTGTGGGGCTTTTGTGTTTCTGTTTCCTCCAGAGAAGTTGAGGGGGGCTAACAGACACGGAGCTTAGGCTTGGACTGAGGAGGCATAAAAACATGGTTTATTCCAAACACTGCAATGTGGAATAAGAGAGTGGGAAGGGAGGTTGGTGGAGAAGTGTGGACTCCCAGACCCTCCCCTCCGCAACCCAGCCCCAGACCCGGCTGGAGATCTGGGAAGAGGAGGTTTTTTGGAGGTCTGCTGGGTCATCACTGAAGGGTCGCAAATAAGGGTTGGATTTGGAGAGGATGTGGTTGGTGACAAGTGGGGTGTCGGGAGGTGCGGCAGGGTGGGAAGTTTTGGCTTCAGGGAGGTTGGGTTCATCGTGGTGCAAGGGAAGGCGGGGCTTCCGTTGGGGACGTGTCCTAGGTCAGAGTAGGGAAAAGCGACCGAGGGTGGAAGAGGAGGAGGGGGTGTCACGGTTTGATGTCAAGGGTCACAGTCTGGTCGGGGCACAGTCTGGGGTTCGGGTCACAGTTTGGGGTCAGGGGTCACAGTCTGGAGTCGGATGACCATTTTAGGAGTCGGATGTCACAGTCTGGGTCAGGGGTTTCTGTGTGGCGGGGCCAAGGTCTGGGGTCACAGTTTGGCGAACGCGTCTCACAGTTTGGAGTCCCAATGAATGAAAGGTTAAAAACGGGCTTCCCCGGAGGCGTGGCTGGGGCCGGGGAGCTGCACAGTGATGTGGGGGCCACGGCCCCGGGCGTGGAGGTGGGACGCGGGAGTGGCGTGACCCCCCCACCTCCCGCCCCATCTGGTGACGTTAAAAAGCCCTTGTCGGGTTTAAAAAAAAGTCCGGTGGGCTCCAAGGCCCCCGCCCCCTCGCTCTCAGCCTGGGTGATAATTGGGGGGACCAAATCCTCTCCAGCTTGCGGTTCTTCCGGAACCAGGGGGCGCAGGACGCTGCTCCAGGCGGGGTCCAGCCAGTTCCACTGCTTTCCTTCCCAACCCACGCGGGTCCTGTCCACTGCGGGCGCCCCCTCGGGCCGTGGCCTGCGCTGACCAAGGGGGCGGTGGGGCCCCCGGGGCCGCGTCATACCTCGGACTCGAGGCTGGAGAAGTGTGCAGAGCCCCTGCGGGTGCCCAGGTCCCCGCCCCGGTGTCTCCGGTGGGAAGCTGTGGGCAGCGGCGGCCCCCAGTGCGCGGCGTGCGGGCACCTGCGAGCGTGGCGGGAGGGCCCGGTAAGCCTGCGCGCAGGGGCGGCGCGAGGGCACGAGCTGAGGTCCTCAAGCGAGCGCGAGGTGGGCGCGGGCGGCGGGAGGTCCCAGCCCCCAGCGGCGCGCCGGTGCCGGTGGTGGTGGGGCGCGGCAGCGGCGGGCGTGCGGTGAGAGGCCCGCGGGCGGTGCGGGTGTGACCGCGGGCACCCGCAGCGGGCACGGCGTCGGGGCGGAGGCCCGGCGGCCCAGGGAGGAGGCGGCGGCGCCCACCAGCCGCCGTCCAGGCCATCGTGCGAGCAGCTGAGATGGCGCGGCGGCGGCAGCAGCTCCAGGCTGGCGCAGTGGCGACAGTGCCAGGCGGCCGGACCGCTGCGCGGGGGCAGGTAGTCCCAGCTCCCGGCGCGCCAGCCCCCGAGCTTGTCGACCGACCAGTAGCGGCCGGGCGGCGGCCCGAGGCGCTCGGCGTAGGGGTAGGGGAAGTCGGCGAACCACCAGGGCTCCAGGCCGCCCAGCGACGCGCCGCCCAGGCTCTCCGAGTCCTCCGAGTCCGACGGCGACGGCTCGAGGTCGAGGTAAGGGCAGGGGGGCGGCGCGGCCCGGCACGGGGGTGGAGCGGCCGGGGCTCCTCCGCCCGCGCCTCCCGCGCCTCCCGCGCCGCCCGCGCCCGGTCCCAGCAGGGGTTGGCTCTCGGGGTCCGAGCGCGGCCACCGCGCGGGCGCCGGCGGGCTCTCGTCCTCGAAGGCCAGGCGGCAGAGTGGCGGCCCGACGGCGGGGGCCGCGGCGGCGGGGGGCGCGGGCGGCGACGGGAAGCCGGGGAAGGCGCCGGCGGGGGGCTCGGCCGGCTCCTTGTCGCGTACGATGGCGAAGTAGGAGGGCGGCGGCTTCTGCGGGGGCTGAGCGGCCGGCGGGGACAGCGGGCGCCCGGCTGCGCCCCGCGGTGCCGCACGCGCCTCGCCCAGGCCCAGGCCCAGGCCCTGCGGCTCGATGGGGCCGTAGTAGCGGTGGAAGCCGTCGGCCAGGCCCACGCCCCCCGGCGGCCCCGCGCCCTTGGTCCGGCGCCAGCGGTCCACTGCGGCGCGCTCGCGGGGCACGAAAGGTGCAGGCCCGGGCGCCGGCCGCGGCGCGGGGTACGCGGGGCTGGGCAGGGGCTGCGGCGGCGGCGGGGGCTTGGCGGGCGGCGGGGCGGCCTCGGCGCTGCAGCAGCTGTACATGCCCTGCGGGTTTGGGGACAGGACGGGGGTCAGCGCCGGGTGCCCAGGAGGCCTACCTGCCTCCCCTCAGTCCCTCCCTCCTCTCCATTTCCCAGCCTGCATCTCCCGTTCTCTTCCCCACTATCCACATCTCGACTCACATCTCCATGTCTCTGCCCGGCTTTACCTTTGTCCCCTGCCCCCGTCATCTCCCCTTCTTTGCCTCCCTCTCTGCCCCGTACCCTGGAGAAGGCCAGCAGGAAGTCCATGCGGTGGGTGGGCCCCAGGCAGTGCCTCAGGCGCCAGTACACCAGGTGCTCCCAGGCGAAGACCAGCAGGGACAGGCCCATGGCCACCAGGAGCATGTAGAAGACGCCCGCCATGTTGTCGATGTCCAGCTTGCTGCTCATCACCTCGATTTTGTCATTGTGGCAGATCCCGGAGAGCCACAGCCGCTCCAGCATCTCGATCTCATCTGGGGAGGGGCGGTCAAAAGTCACCTGCTATGAGTACCCTCTGAGGACCCTCATCTGTGATGTGGGAATGTAGCCCCTTCCTCCCTCAGACCCTGGTGTCCGGGTCTTTGTCCCTTTCTTCCCCAGAACCCAGGGGCCTCGCCCTCCCCCTCTCCACTGTGGAAATCCCTGCGCGCAGCCGCACCATCCCCCAGGAACTGCAGCAGCGCCAGGTCGATGGGCCGCTTCCAGCGGGAGCCCTTGTGCAGGGCGATGCCATAGCCTGTCGTGGCGAAGACCTTGCCGGAGCCGATGGTGACAAGCTTGCAGCCCTCATCCTTGCGGGCCATGTAGTTGAGCACCGCAGCGTCGTAGATGAAGGCATCCAGCTTCCTGGACGGAGGGGGAATGGAGGGCAGGGTCAGTCCCACCTAGATGCCCTGGCTGCCAGGCCTGGAACCTCCTCACCTCTAACCTCCAACTGCTCCAAATCCTAACTGGCCCTGAGCTCTTGAGCCAATCATTGCACTTCTCTGTACCTCAGTTTCAACATCAGTAAAATGGGCGTGGCAGCAATATCTCCCTTCAGAGTTGTTGCAAAAGTATGTTTTTAAGAGACAGGGTCTTGCTCTGTTGTCCAGACTGGACCAGAAATCCTGGGCTCAAGCGATCCTCCTATCTCAGCCTCCCCAGGAACAGGAACTATAGGCAAAGGTTAGATAGTACCTCACGCAAAGGAGGTGTGAGCTGTGACTTTTTTTTTTTTTTTTTTTTTTTGAGATGGAGTCTCACTCTGTTGCCCAGGCTGGAGTGCAGTGGCATGGTCTCGGCTCACTGCAAGCCCCAACTCCCAGATTCACACGATTCTCCTGCCTCAGCCTCCAAGTAGCTGGGATTACAAGCGCCCACTACCATGTCCAACTACTTTTTGCATTTTTAGTAGAGACAGGGTTTCATCATGTTGGCCAGGCTGGTCTTGAACCCCTGTCCTCGTGATCTGCCCATCTCGGCCTCCCAAAGTGCTGGGATTACAGGCATGAGCCATGGCGCACAGCCATAACAGAATGAAATAGTTATTCCTTTAGTCCTCACCGTAGTCCTCCAAAGGAGTCCATTTACTCTTGCATTTTAAAAAAGAGGATTGAGACCAGCCATGGTAGCTCATGGCTATAATCCCAGCACTTTGGGAAGCCAAGGCAGGTGGATCACCTGTGAACTCAGGAGTTCCAGACCAGCCTGGCCAACATGGTGAAACCCCATCTCTACTGAAAATACAAAAATTAGTCTGGTGTGGTGGCGGGCACCTGTAATCCCAGCTACTCAGGAGGTTGAGGCAGGAGAAGCGCTTGAACCTGGGAGGCAGAGGTTGCAGTGAGCCAAGATCGAGCCACTGCACTCCAGCCTGGGCGACAGAGAGAGATGCCATCTCAAAACAAATAAAGAGGAGGATTGAGGCTTAGAAGGGGAAATGAGGAAAAAAATAATAATGCGAGTGAATGATCGCTTATTTTGTGCCAGGCATTGTTCTATCTAGTCTTAAGAACTCTTTTTTTTTTTTTCCTGAGACAAGGTCTCACTATGTTGCCCAAGCTGAAATGCAGTGGCACCATCATAGCTCACTGCAGCCTTGACCTCTTGGGTTCAACTGATCCTCCTGCCTCAGCCTCCTGAGTAGCTGGGACTACAGGCACACATCACCACACTTGTCTAATTTTTGTATTTTTAGTAAAGACAGGGTTTGGCCATGTTGGCCAGGCTGGTCTTGAACTCCTGACCTCAGTTGATCCACCCCCCTCGGCCACCCAAAATGCTCGGATTACAGGCGTGAGCCACCACATCTGGCCTAGGCCCTGCCCAGGCTAGAGCGCAATGGTGTGATCTGGGCTTACCACAACCTCCACCTCCCCGGATCAAACGATTCTCCTGTCTCAGCCTCCGGAGTACCTGGGATTACAGGCATGTACCACCACGGCTGGCTAATTCTGTATTTTTAGTGGAGACAGGGTTTCTCCACGTTGGTCAGGCTGGTCTCGAATTCCCGACCTCAGGTTATCGGCCCACTTTGGCCTCTCAAAGTGAGTTTCTCCCAAGGTGCTGGGATTACAGGCATGAGCCACCGTGCCCAACCTAGGCCCTGATTTCTAAGACTTGGTGGGAAGAGGCGCAGGGCTGTAGAGTTAGTTCTCATGGATGCATTTATTATGGCACATGCTGCTATCACTCTCATTTACAACTGCTGTCATTTTACATTTATTTCTGTGGTGGTTTGATTCATCTCAACCTTCCCCATGAGACTGCAAGACCCCCAGGGTCCCAGTTGGTCTCATTCTCATCTGTGACTGGGGCATAGTTCCTAGCACGTAGGATGGGGTTGATAGATATTTGCAGAATAAATGAGTGAATGAATAAATGAATCCACACAGAGGAATACTGTGTAACTCTTCTGTGGTATCAGATAAATGCTTATGATCTGACAGGTGAGGAGGTATGGGGTATATTTTATATATTTTTAAAATATGTATATGTATATTTTTCTTTTATTTTTAGAGATGGGGTCTCACTCTGTTTCCCAGGCTGGTGTCTCAAACTCCGGGGCTCAAGCAATCCTCCTGCCTCAGCCTCCCAAAATGCTGGGATTACAGGCGTGAGCTTTCTCACCCAACCTATGGGGTGTATTTTTTAAAAAGTTAGGCTGGGTGTGGTGGTTCATGCCTGTAATCCCAACACTTGGGCCACATAGTGATACCCTGCCTCTATAAAAAAAAAAAAATTAGGCCGGGTGCGGTGGCTCACGCCTGTCATCCCAGCACTTTGGGAGGCCGAGGCGGGCGGATCACGAGGTCAGGAGATCGAGACCATCCTGGCTAACATGATGAAACCCCGTCTCTAATAAAAATACAAAAAAAATTAGTCGGGCACGGTGGCAGGTACCTGTAGTCCCAGCTACTGGGGAGGCTGAGGCATAAGAATGGTGTGAACCCGGGAGGCGGAGCTTGCAGTGAGCTGAGATCGCATCACTGCACTCCAGCCTGGGCGAGGGAGCGAGACTCTGTCTCAAAAAAAAAAAAAAAATTAGCCAGGTGTGGTGATGCACCTATATTCCCAGTTACTCAGGAGGCTGAGGCAGGAGGATCCCTTGAGCCCAGGAGTCTGAAGCTGCAGTGAGCTATGATGACACCACTGCACCCCAGCCTGGGTGACAGAGGGATACCCTGTCTCTAAAAACAAAACAAATGGACAAAAAAATTACTCCCAGAATCCTATATAAAATATGAGTTCATATTGGCCGGGTGCAGTGACTCACACCTGTAATCCCAGCACTTTGTGAGGCCAAGGCAGGCGGATCATATGAGGTCAGGAGTTCCACACCAGCCTGGCCAACAGGGCGAAACCCCGTCTCTATTAAAAATACAAAAATTAGGCCGGGCGCAGTGGCTCAAGCCTGTAATCCCAGCACTTTGGGAGGCTGAGACGGGCGGATCACGAGGTAGGAGATCGAGACCATCTTGGCTAACCCAGTGAAACTCTGTCTCTACTAAAAAAATACAAAAAACTAGTCGGGCGAGGTGGCAGGCACCTGTAGTCCCAGCTACTCAGGAGGCTGAGGCAGGAGAATGGTGTAAACCTGGGAGGCGGAGCTTGTAGTGAGCAGAGATCCGGCCGCTGCACTCCAGCCTGGGCGACAGAGCGAGACTCCGTCTCAAAAAAAAAAATACAAAAATTAGGCCGGGAGCGGTGGTGGGCGCCTGTAGTCCCTGCTACCCAGGAGGCTGAGGCAGAATAATCGCTTGAACCGGGGAGGCAGAAGTTGCAGTAAGCTGAGATTGCACCACTGTACTCCAGCCTGGGTGACAGAGTGAGACCCTGTCTAAAAGAAAAATATATATATATATAATTTCATATTTATTTACTTAATGATATTTGTTGTGCGGTAAAATGTTGGTCATCTTAACTGCAGACATTAGACTAGTTCTTAGAGGGAGGTACCTCTCCTTCCCGAGTCCAGCATTATCCAAAAGAACGTGCTCTGATGATGGAATGTTCCCTCTTCGCTGTCCAGCATGACAGCCAAGAGCCACATATGGCTCTCTAGCACCTGAAATGTGACCAGTGTGACAAAGGGGTGGAATTTTTTTTTTTTTTTTTTTTGAGACAGAGTCTTGCTCTGTCACCCAGCTGGAGTGCAGTGGTACAATCTTGGCTCACTGCAACTTCTGCCTCCCGGGCTCAAGTGATTCTCCTGCCTCAGCCTCCCAAGTAGCTGGGTTTATAGGCGTGCACTACCATGCCCGGCTAATTTTTGTACTTTGAGTAGAGACGGGGTTTTGCCATGTTGGCCAGGCTGATCTCGAACTCCTGACTTCAGGTGATCTGCCCGCTTCAGTCTCCCAAAGTGTTGGGATTACAGGCGTGAGCCTTAGCTCCTGGCCACATTTTATGTAATTTCATTAATTTAAATGGAAGTAAGTATTGTACAGCACAGTTCTGGGAAGCCAAGATAGATAGATAAAGACAATAGATAAAGATAAAGACAGATAAGACAAGCTAGGGCCAAGGGGGGTGGCTTATGCCTATAATCCCAGCACTTTAGGAGGCCTAGACAGGTGGATCACAAGGCCGGGAGTTCATGACCAGCCTGGCCATGCTGAAACCCCATCTCTACTAAAAACACAAAAATTCGCTGGGCATGGTGGTGCACGCCTGTAATCCCAGCTACTCGGGAGGGTGAGGCAGGAGAATCGCTGGAACCTGGGCAGCAGAGGTTGCAGTAAGCCAAGATCAAGCCATTTCACTGCAGCCTGGGCGACAGAGCAAGACTCCATCTCAAAAAAAAAAAAAAAAAAAAAAAAAAGCATGGCTGGATGCTGAGTTGAAGAGAAGCCAAAGGATCTTCCAGGGAATACTTAACCTCCAGTTTTGAGTGGTGAGCCTGTCTGTTGATTTAAGTCCTCCTGTGTCCCCAAACCTTCAGAAAAATCCTGTCCACACACTCACAGGCTCACATATAAATGCCGTGTGTGTGTGGCTGGTTGCATAGAAATTAGGGAAAAGGACTGAATTAGTCCATACGTGCTAAGTGGGGAAACAGACAGGAAGTGGATTCCCCAAACTGAATGTCTGTCTAGCTGAAGCAAAGACCCGGGGGTGGAGAATGTGAAGCTCTGGAGAATTAGCAGAAACCTGGGGAGGACATTCATCATCCCACTGTTGTAGAATGGGGTTTGAATTAATTTTATATAGATCCTAACTGGGAGTTCCCAGATGACATCTGGAAACATAAGTATAGGTGAGAAAAATACAGCCACTGCCTGCAGGCACTTCTGCCTTGTAGGCAAACTGTAATTTTTCCCTATGTTTCTCTTTGTTTAGGAAGGTGCCCTTGGGGGTGAAAG